TTTCCACACTATGTAATACTAATTGATGTGTTGCTTGTTATTATGAATATTCAGTGTATATGTAGTCAGTGTAAATATGAGGCTTTTTCTTAATTCTTTGCCTTTTTCCTCTGTCTGGTCCCCACCTTATCAGTATTAATAGCATTCTCAGGATGTATTAGGCCATTCAAAATGCCATGTAGTCAAAAGAAATTTCCTGCTCTTTCTTTGTCCCTCCTAGAAATCAAGATAGTCTTAAAGCATAGACTGAGCCCCTTTCCCTTAACTAAACTGGTTTTTGTATTCTGGGCCAGCTGCCTAAATTGATAATCTGCAACTTGACACTTACTAGCCCCACAGAAGTTTAATATTAATTGGCTTTCCACCAATCACTGTTTTGGAACATCATGGAAAGTATTAAATTTTTATCTATTTAATAATTTTATTTCAAAGATAATTTTAGTTTTATGGTTTTTTTTTTTTTAGTTTTAGAGGTAGTATGTAGGAGTAAATATCATATAGCAAATGCTATAGGAATAGAAACATTGCTGTTATTTTTTTTTAATTCCAATATAGTTAACATATAGTGTTATATTAGTTTTGGTGTACAATATAGTGATTCAGGGATTCTGTACATTACTCAGTGCTCATCATGATAAATGTACTTTTGATCCCCTTCACCTATTTCACCCACCCCCACACCCACCTCCCCTCTGTTATTTCTTATTACTTATGAATTTTTCAGATTGTTCTAGAATTTTGTTCTAGAATAAGATATTTGTTACTTTTTTACTTCGTTTGCCATGCTTTCCATAATTTAGCTTAACACATCTGTCCTGCCCCGTACTTCTGTCTCTACAAACCTCAGTATTAAAGAATGGTTTTTTTTGGGGGGGAATCCATTAATACTAGGATAATTTTAAGTCTCTCCAGCTTGTAGCACTGAGGTCCTTAATACTGTCTGCGCTCTTGCTGCTTTCTGAATTAGTAATTAACTGCCATGAATTGTACATATGTGCAGGCATCTGAAGACTTTTTTCAGGTACTTTATGTTCTGCAGTCTGTGGCCTCCAAGAGAGATACTTTTCGTGCTTTGTTAATGACTAAGCTAAGATAAATAGATATTCTTGGGCGGTGAGCAGCTGAACCTTTTTGACAGTTTTGACTCCTTTCTTTACTGTATTTGCATAGTTTGTTCCCTTCTTATTGTAGATCACAGTGAGCTGATTCTTAACCTAGTGTGGACAGTCAGGAGACTGTGTCTGGAGCATGTGCATGCAGTGTGCCCTTCCTATGTCATGGCTAAAAGTTCAGCTCTCTTATTTTTATGGTCCCCAGGCATGGGCACTTTATGATATTTTTCTTCCCTTGTACTATTCCTGTAGTGTGATCGTCATGATCTTCATGTTATTTGGTTTTCACCTTGTTCAACCGATATTTAGTGTTTACTATGTGCCAAGGAAGGTTATTGTTGTTGTTCTACTTTTGAGAGAACATGATCTTTTTTTTTTTTAAAGATTTTATTTATTTATTTGAGAGAGAGAGAATGAGAGACAGAGAGCATGAGAGGGAGGAGGGTCAGAGGGAGAAGCAGACTCCCTGCCATACAGGGAGCCCGATGCGGGACTCGATCCCGGGACTCCAGGATCATGACCTGAGCCGAAGGCAGTCGCTTAACCAACTGAGCCACCCAGGTGCCCGAGAACATGATCTTATGTTTTATATTTTCTCTGTCCTTCCTTAACAGTAGGGGATCCCCAAACTTGTAGCTGAGAGCTACTTTGTTCCTCCTTAGAAGCTTCACAGATGGGAAGCTGTAGCTGCCACATGCCCATCCCAGCTAGTGAGGGTGAGGGGCCCAGCATGGCTGAAAGTGGCCTCCTCATCATCTGTGGGCATGGAGGGAGAGATACCCTTTGCCATCTTCCTGCATCTTGCTCCTGCCTTATGGGGCCAGCAGCCTTTTCTTTTTCTCATCAGGCACCAAAAGGGGGAATGGGACTCCACTCAGGGAACACCTGAAGGAAGTGAAGTGCTTTCCAGTCACACTGCCATTGGCATTTATGGTGAATGCTCTTAATAAGCTAGGAGGTATTTAGCCTCCCCTTCTGTTCATTTTTTTCCTTTCCTTCATTTTTTTTTTTTTCTTTCCTCCCATCATATGGGCTAGGCTGATTTTAGATCCTGTGAGGATTAAATGGCTGTCAGTCAGCATGTGTGACTGGCAAGCATTTTTATCCTATGTTAGAGGGGATCCACCTCAGCATCCTTGATTGACTGAAGTTGTCCAGGCTGCCAGTCACAGTGGAAGGGAAGGTGGAAACCTTAGAATCCTCCCCATCCTTCTGGAAGGATTGGTCTGAAAGAGGTTGGAGGAAGTGTGTGGGAGGAAAGAATTTCATAAGCTTCTGAGCCTGATCCATGGCAAACTCTCACTTAAGAGTAAAAGAAAAAAGTAAATGAATCATTCCAATGATGGATTTATGAAATGATCAGTATGTGTAAATATGCCCATAAGCCTGCTTGGCCTTGATGGAGGGAAGTAGTGAAATTACTTATGTTTACAGTATCATTTCCTTTTCCATTTTCCTTCCTTTTAAATCACTGCTTTAATACCTCTCTGGGTTTGGAGGTGCTTTAGAATTTCAGACAACTGCCTTGATATTTCCAGCAGAGCACAGTGCCCACTGTCCAGGAAGAAATGAGGACAGAGACAGGAGGCAATTAGGGATGACAAAGTGAAGGTTAAATGAGGGAGAAACATCCTCTGGCCCATCCCTAAACTTTACCCTCAACATGTTCAAGCCTGTTTGGTCTCATGTGAAGTATTCTCACATGGAGAAGCAGTGGTAAAGCTCATCTTCTTCAAGAGCATTTGTTGGAAGATGTAATGATTGACTGAGAGCTGGAAAAAAAAAATGTATGTGGATATGAATTAAGCAAGATTTTTTTTTTTTCCTGACCTCTCATAATACTAGGAGGCAGGGAGGGGGATTTTATCTCTTGGGTCTTAGTGACAGACAGCTGATTGCACTCTAAACTGGTTTAAGCAGGAAGGTGCTTGTTAAGAGATAGCGGAGAGCCTATGGTCTCCTCAGAAGAGCTGGAGAAACAGGCTTTCAGCTGAAGTTAAAGGAACAATACTTAGACCACATCACACAACTGGTGAGATCTGCTGCCACGTCTGCCCCCAGAACCACCTGCTTCTACTGCCACTTGCACCTGCCAAGCAGGTGCTCTTTACCCATCTGACTCGTCCCGTGTCCTGTTTCCAAATCCACCTCAAGTAGGTGTGTCACATGATGAAACCCAGTCCTGAGTCTACACCCTAATAGCAAAGGAGGTTGAAAAATATAGGTTAGGGGTGCCTGGGTGGCTCAGTCGTTAAGTGCCTGCCTTCGGCTCAGGTCATGATCCCAGGGTCCTGGGATCGAGCCCCACATCGGGCTCCCTGCTCCACAGGAAGCCTGCTTCTCCCTCTCCCCCTCCCCCTGCTTGTGTTCCCTCTCTCACTGTATCTCTCACTGTTAAATAAATAAAATCTTAAAAAAAAAAAGAAAAAAAAATATAGGTTACATGGATTCTGTATTGGAAAAGTAGGATTCACAATGTTGGGAAGTATCCAAATGTGGAGGTCTAGAAGGGTTTGGGGCAGCCACAAATTTAGATGTTACTTACAAGAGTACATTCGTAAATACGACATAGAAAAGCCTCATGATATGAATTAACAATAAAATTTTAATGATCAACTGCAAAAAATTCAAATAATTCTAGCAGACATTTTATGACTATTTGCTGAGGGACTTGTGGTAGTCTATATATTTCTATATATTTCTCCTTCATTTACCCTCTTAGGTGGTTATTTTTTCAGTGTTTGATGTGTTTCTTCCCCTACTTTATTATCCATGACACGGTGGCAAGATCCTATGAGATTAGGCTATCAAAGGAGGAAGGGTTTAAAAATGGTTCATCTAAGTCCTCACAGAACCACATTCTTTTGCAAAGGTTGCTGAGATTTCTAGATTTTCTATTTTTACATGACACTGAAGACCTTTGGAACTATACTTTAAATCCCTCTGAAGAAGAAACAACCAGTTTTTTTTAAAGATTTAATTAATTAACTAATTAATGTATTTATTTGCGAGAGATAGAGCACAAGCAGGGGGAGGGGCAGAGGGACAAGTAGACTCCCTGCTGAGCAGGGAGCCCAAGGCAGGGCTCAATCTGAGGACCCTGAGACCATGACCTGAGAAGTCAGACACTTAACTGACTGAGCCACCCAGGTGTCCCAAAACAACCAGATTTTTAATAAAATTTAAATTTAGCCTGAGTTTTTATAGCATGAATTTACACAGACTTTTTTTTATAGATTCTCATGGAGACCTATATGAACTTTTTTTTTTTTTTCAAATTGGGCATTCTTTTTAAAAAATGTAACAGTTTGGTCCACAAACTTTTACTCTTTTGAAAAGCAAGCAAAATAAATCAAAATATTTTGAATGTGTAAAGTTCCTATTAATGCATCGGGGAAATTGTAATTTTTCAATTACTAAAATTTGATATAGAAAACTCTGTAATATAATGTTGTAATTTTTAGTCATCATGTTAAGGTTTTTACTAACAGTGCTTCCTTTTTGGCCACTCAGGATCTTAAGTGAAATAGATTTTTAAAAATGTTGAATGTGTAAACAAGCATCGGAAATGATAGTTTTGGAAACTTGTTGACACTTCCTGGGAAGCACTCAGTTATTTCACTTTTTTGATAAACCTATCTAAACCTACAAGCTGTTTGCAAGCCAGAGCATGAATATTTGTATGTGTGGTCACGGAAATAACTAGGAACCTTAATTAAAGAGTTTTTCCCTGGTTCCTTGGCAACAAAAGATGAGTGAAAAACTTCTCCTTTTTACTTTTTATTTTTTGACCTGAGTAAATAGTTCCTTTAAGTAGTTTTCTTCACTAAGTATCATCTTTTTATTTTTTTATTTTATTTTATTTTATTTTATTTTATTATTCTACAGGGGGTTAAATACCTGTGCATTCCAGCAGCGGATTCACCATCTCAGAACCTGTAAGTTGTTTTTTTCCTATATTTTTTGGAGATATTAAAAATTGCAAAGGACAGTAAAGTCAAATAACTAAAGGGCCGTGAAGTCATCAGAGCCATGGGATGCCAAGCACAGAGGTCTGTGCGGCCAAGTTAGGCAGAACTGTAGCTGGAGGCATGCTGTTTGTTTGCCAGTCCTTCAACTATACAACACTGACTGATGGGACGTCTACAAGAAGAGCCTCATTTTTAAAAAGGATGCCTCAAACCAAACTTTCAGCATGTTTATCCTCTCTCTGGAAGCAAAGATTTAAAGAAGCTAATGGGTTTTGTCTAAGATAGGACTGTCCAGTAGAAATAGAATATGAACCACAAATGTAAGCCATGAGGATAATTTTAAATTTTCTAGGAGCCAAATTAAAAAGAGTAAAAAAAGGAACAGGTGATAATAGTTTTAATAATGCTTTATTTAACCCAGTATATGCAAAATACTGTCATTTCAACATATAAATATAATGAAACTTGCCCAATATAAAACAAAATTGAGATTTTTTTTTTTACATCTTTTTTTTTCATACTACAAAATCTGGTTGATGTGGGGAAGATTGTGGGGGGGCGTGTAGGACAGGGGAAAGGTGGTATAGAGTTAGACCAGGAAGGGTAGATTGGAAGCAGGGACAGATACGTTCTATGCAAGGCCTGTTTTCACACTAACTCTCTGTATTTCACAGAAAAAGTCAATCTTTAAGATTGAAGATGGTGGAGGAAAGATTTTACTAGGATCACTAGGAAAACAGTAGTAGCGTGGGTCTAGGAGGAGAAGAAGCAGCAGAGAACTTCCTTGGTTACTAGTCGTGTCAAGAAACAGAAGTGGTTGGAAGGGCATGGTGTATACGGAAGGAAGTGAGCCACTGCCTTTCTCTGGAGACCACAGCAATCTTCTGCCCATGTTTTGGTGGCTATTTTTAGAATGGTTGCTTTGCTCTTATCTCAAACTGAGATTCTAACATACTTTTGAACTTGTCAATACCTGATTGGCAATGACTCTTCGGAGGAATCAGATTGTCACACATTCTGGGCATTTGTTGTCAGAGAAGGCACTTGATTGCCCCCAGGACTTTTCAGCTTTGCTAGGAGCCAAGCACTGTGTTTGATGTCCAGGACAATGACTGGCTTACCAAATGAAGATTGAGCATTGAGCAGCCCTGCACTACGTAAACAAATAAGCAGTAGACCTTGATGTTAGATATCTTAACTTTAAAACTAGTTACATCTACCTTGGGCAAGTCATTTAAACCCATCTGAGCTTCAGTTCCCTCATTTGAAAAATGCCTGCCTTCAGGATTTTTGAAGATAAGATCACATATATGAAAGTGTTCTCTATGAACTCTAAGCAGTTTTGAAAATAAGAGTATACTTTTACCCTCTTCAAGGTGTGTTAATTTATCTTGAGAGTTACAAAAGAAGATAGTTGAAATAACAAGTTTCGGTGCTCAGGAGGCCACTTCAGTGGAAGATTTGGAAGATTTCCTTACATGGAAAGGCCAGAGTGACAGAAAATGTTTCTCTGAGTTGCAGTGTCTCATGGGTCAGTTCAGATCTTCTGGCAAAACCAGCCCAAACATAGGCACCTTGGGTCCAGAGGACTAGCCCGTAAGATTTGAATTTGTTCTCTCCCATCTCAAATATGTGCAGAGGTCTTGTTAAGATGTGTGATTTGCCTTTTTAGCCCTTTCCTCACATCTTGGTAAAAGTGTAGGGTAGGATTCCAATAGGTGGTTATTACAGCACCCAAGTGTGAGGCTAATGACAGAGAGAACCTGAGGAGAATGCACCACTGTTACTATTTTGAGTGAAGTCCTACAGCAGTACAACCTCTGTTTCAGTTGGAAAATAAAGTCAAGACCATAACTCATCGAAAGGCAGAAAAGCTGTCACTCTCCCGTTGGGAGTTAAGTTCACAGGCACTCATGTGATTCTTCGGGGAAACTTTTAGTTTTCATCCATTAGTAATAGCAAGTCTTACGCATAAGTAAGGATTTGGGCACATCAATGTCCATGATTTTGTAAATATTTCTTGCTCTACTGAAGTTATATGGAAATTGTGGAGTTAAGTTTGGAATATGAGTATACTTTGTATGTTAAGAGACAGCCTATGAAATAGCTTGAGTTTCTCTTTACCTTTTACGAATGTTTTATTGGAAGCATAACATGCCTTTTAACAGTGAGCATGCTTTCATGATATAGACTATTAACCATTGGCAAGTGGAACACTTGATTCTGTTTATATGATCCATCTCACTTCAGGTAGCCTGTGGTTATTACTCAGCAAATATTAGGAACATATAGGTTGACAGTGAACCTTCACCTTCTGTACCATCAACCAATGTAGATGGTCAGGAGACAAATACTCTTAATGCTCTGGTTAACAAAAGCAAGAGAAATCATGTCTGTCACTGGAAAATATGCCCTGGGTAACTCAGACAAGTAGAACTAGTAGTTCTTTAGTCTAGCCACTTTTAATTACTGATGCCTGAGAAATCTTATATTTAATGACAAAATAAATTCTAGAAAACTATATCCCTGTTGTAAACTTACAGACTTTTAAAATTATTTCCAACTTTGGATATAGTTTAAGTTTTATATCCTAAATCTCTCCCCACAAATCCTTATACCAACAGGAATTCTTCTTTCCAGTTTTGCTTAGTAAGAGGTTTGTGACCTTTTGAAACTAACTGCTTTCACTTGGTATTCAGTGGCTGTAAACTGCCCAGAAAGGTCAATTTTCTGTCTTGGCTTTAATCCTCACAAACTCCCCCTCTGATCTTCCAGGAACTTAAAATGCAGAAACCTGGTTGAGATAACATTAGCACATTAAAATCTTAGCTCAGTTCCCCCAACTACCTTGCCTTTCAAAGTCAGGAAATGTGAAAGTTCAAGTTCTCATGGTCATAATAACCCCACAGACCCCGGCTGGTGTGTTTTGCATGAATTGTCACAATTAGAGGCATCCTAGAGTTTATATCAAATGCACATGCTACATGTTCTCTGGCCGAAGTGGAGCGGGCTAGTGAATTCAGGCTTTTGGAAATACTTGCTTTTGCTTTCTCTCTGTACTTTCGTATGCAAGTCATTTTAACCTTATTTCTCTCATCTGTAAAATACCTATCTCACACAATTTTTGTAGTATTGGGTTAGATAAGTGAAAGTGTTTTTTATGAACTCTAAGCATTTCCAAAAAATAAGATTATATTTGCTGTCTATCCAAGTAAGGAGTATTAATGTATTTTGAGAGTGAATTACTGGATGTATAGTAGCTCATTTATTCATTCTTATTTTAATATTTATTAAATTGGTATTTTGTATTTAGACATTGTTAAGGGAATAATTACTTTTTTTTTTTTTATCTTCTGTCAAGTCCAGGAGAGTTTGATCTGTGCTGTAGAGTTGGTAGCATTGCATCATTACAAGAGAGCCTTTGTGACATTCAGTGGTTTGAGTATCGAGCAGGTCTCTGAATTTCTTGAGGTTTTTGTGGGGAGAAGAGGTATTAGCAATACAGTGAGCTTATATTTAAAATATCAGTAAAATTTCCTTGCCTTATTCTACCTCCTTATCTTTTTGTGTATGTTTTCTTTAGTTTAGCTGATGTCTTCTGTACATCCAGCTCTCTCTTTCTCTCGCTTACAATTTTCTTTAATTATTAAAAAGCAGTTTTGCAAGACCAAAATGATGTGGGCCTTGGAGTGCTGTGGTCCTATTTCCAGACAGATGCATACTTACTTGAGCATTCATGTGCACACACACACATGCTCACACATGACTCCTGAGGACTTTGCAGGCCATGGAAATGAGAAATACTCAGAAAAGGTATATTGAGTTTTTCATAAGACTTCACTTATTGAACTTAACTATTTTTTAGTCTTAAACTGTGTCCTCCTCTCAACTATTCTTTGTGAAATGATGTTATAGTAGGTGGTAAAAAGGGTTTGGTTTTGTTTTTAAAATGACCTTATGTGGCAAAATGAAAAGCACGATACACACCACATGTGTGTTTTAATTCCCCCCCCATTAAAAAAAAAGTTTAAGTGCAGGAAATACAAAATGTGGGAAATCCTTGATATAAGTATGAGTAGTTGTATGTGTTCAATGCCTGGTGCTGAAAGAGCAGCTCAGCCAGTGTCTGTCCTGCTGGAGAATGTTCCTTCCTGCTTGCTTCTGGGTGAGGCAAGAGCGAGCTTCACAGTGTTCCAGCCGAGGGGGCCCACACACAGCCTGGGAGCCTCTGCCGATTCTGCCCCAGGAGAAACAGCTTTCTGATCTGAGCCCAGATAAAACATTCCACCCACTTGCTTTTTGCCTTTTTGCTTTTTTTCTTTAAGCATTCCTTTTTTAGGAGGAAAACTCTAAGAGTGCTTGCCTTTCCTGTTTTTTTTCCTCCTTTGCTTTCATATACAACATGCATGCACACATGTGCACACATATACACATATGTACACACATGTATGTATGTGGGAAGGAGAAGCGTCCTGGGTCTCCTGTCAGTACAACCTGGTCTGATACTGCTGACTTTGGAGTAAGCCCAGCTACCACTCAAGGTACGTGGCCAGATCCCTTGGGCTACTGCTCAGATAAGCAGAGTCCTCAGCAGGAGAGGGCTGCCTCTGATCCCGCAGTGGGGATCACAGCCTCCAAATCTTGCAGTCTTGGAATAAGAACTAGTTGTTCGGCCTCAAAAAATGAGCATCATGTGGTGTAGTTTTGCTAGATCCCATCCACCATCCTTTCTGTGCACTCTCCGAAGGTCAGGGAAACTTTGCTGGTCCTGTCTCTTGGCTTCCGGCCAGAGAGGGGAGGAGGCTCTTCAAGGAGGACAGCCAGCTCAGACTGAGGAAGGGGGACAGTGGCAGCTGCAGGGCTGTTTGATGGGTCTCCTCTGAAGTGCCCCTCTGCCCTCCCCAAGATGTTCTCTTCAGATTGCTGGCAGCAGCAAGCACTATGAGGTAAGTTTGTGACACACGTAGGTGGATGAGCCCCTCTGGCTTTCCTCCAACAGAACTTACTCACATGTCTTTGTATGGAAGCGAGGGTACAAAACGAAGAGCAAGAATAGGGAACCTGTGTCCATTGAAACAGCCTGTGGTGGGATGGTGCTTAAGATGCGCGCTTCTGCTTCACATCAGAGAATTGGGCAACAGGAGCCAGAGTCTCGGGTATTTCCTGCTGTGGAGGAGGGAGTTTAATGACCAGCGCTAGAGTTTATGTCATCAGCTTCCCTGGAAATAACCCCCGCTCCCTGCAGCACACCAAAGCAGCGGTAAATGCGCCTGCCTCCTGGCTTTACGTGGAAAAAGCATTTCTAGGAACGTCTGCTTGGTGTGGCCTTGTGCCCATCTGTGCTTATGAGTCAGGTTTTGTGGTGGGGCTTTGAGCCATCCCTTCAGTGGCATCATTTACACTCCTGGGCTGGGCTGTGAGCTGTCCCCACACAGATGCCTGCCCTGGGGTTCCACAGCCCTTGCCCCAACACGGTGGTGGACAGGAGCCATCTGTGGGTTTGTCCTAGACTTAAGGTTGGCACAGTTAGAGCTGAAAGAGGAAAGGGCTGGCCGGGAGCAAAGTGGGGGCACCTCCTCATGGCTTCCTTGGCCCCTCAGCTCTTTCACACACTCTCTCGGGGCTCTGGCAGGTCTGCATGTTGCCCTGCCGACCCCACTCCCACCCCACTCTCTTATTCTGAGGAGAGGAGGGACTGACTTTTGAACCCAGATACACCGGACAGTATTTGAGCCCCAGGTTTCATTGTGCATGTGGTTTGGTGCATGCAGGTATGAAAGCCAGATGGAAGGAGTTGTTCCCACTCGCAGGTTTCAGCAAAGGCATTCATTTGTTGTCATTTTGCAAAATCCTGGTGAGCTCCACAGCACTGACCGTGTTCCCCTAAAACATTAAGTCCTGCCCACTCAGAGGGGCACTGTTAACTCTCATGTCACTCGGGCCTTTGCAATGTGTTCTGGGGCAGTCTGTGGTTTGTTCACTACTCAGGCAATTGTCACTCATTTTTAGATTTGTTTTTCCTTTTCTGGTTGCTGTGCTTTTCCCTGCCCGTCTTGTCACAGATGAAGCTCTGCTCGACTAGAAAGAGACCCATAAAGGACAGGCGTGAGCATGGGCTGCAGGCATGGAGAGGACTCTCCGAACCTTTGGATGCCCCGGTGTGGCTGACCTCGTGGACAAACATGTGTACCCTCTAGCCACTGCTAGACTGCAGTCAGGGATGAGCTCTGAGTTCCGGGCTGCCTGTCCTGGTCCTGGGATCTGCAGTCAGACCCACCCTACCCTCTGGCATGTCTGCCATGTGCAGCGGCCAACACAGGAGGATAGGCTGGCCCACGAAGCAGATGGCAGACAGGCAGCCTGTAACCACTCCTAGGCCAGATGAGTTGGCCCAATGTTTTTGCTTTCTTTTGTTTTTTATTTTATTATTATTATTTTTTTTAGTAGGCTCCACACTGGGGTATAGAGCCCAATGTGGGGATTAAACTCACGACCCTGAGATCAAGACCTGAGCTGAGATCAAGAGTCAGAGGCTTAACCAACTGGGCCACTCAGGTGCCACTTAGCTCAGTGTTTTTAAAACTGTTGAATTGGTTGCTGTTATCAGGTGGATTATATTTGACTAAAGTAGCAGAGTATCTGATTGATAATGTTTTAAGTTACAGAGAAATTTACTTAAAGCCTTGACTAAGAAACCTGGTGGTGGGTGCTCCCAGGCCTGGGCATCAGTCCCCTGAGGTCTCCCTTTGCATCCTGCTGCCTCTCCACGCGAGGGGCTTTATCACCTGTGGTTACAGGGCAGCTGATGCAGCTGTAAGCATGATGCTAGCAGGAAACCTGGCGCAGAGATAGATGACTTTCCTTTCATTAGGAAGGGAAAACTTTTCCAGAAGTCCCCACCCCACAACCTTTTCTTTACTTCTCCATGGCTGGAATCAGAGGGAAGGGGGACTGTTCTGACAAACTTTGCTGCCCCAAACTAAATCAGCGCAACTCAAGATGTCTGGCCACAGTTTCAATACTTCAAAATCAGAAGACTTCGCTGCAGACTGTTTTTGCTTGAGAGACAGGAAGCTCCAACAGCACCGAGCCTTCTCTCCCGCCTCCGGTGGGCCAGGCTTCTGCCAGTCACATCACAGTGCCCCCCATCCCTTCACCCCTCTGAGCACTCGGCTTCACTGCCTGGCTTCCACAGGCTTCTGCCTTACAATCCTTTCTGAGATCTCTTTTCAGTACTGACACTTCAGATTTCAGGAATTACAGCAGGAATCTTATCTTGCCTGCTTTATATACCAAGCCAGTGTTTGTGAGTATAGTTGCAATGCCCAGAGTAATTTTATAAGTTTATGTCTGGGAGCATTTGTGCCTGGGAAAGTTAGCAAAAGCATGTCTTGCAATGTTCTGGTACTTAAAGATTTTAGTAAGAGTCTGGAGTCCTTGGGTTCGATCCCTAGGACTTTTCATCATGCTTTATGGTTGGTCGTGGAATATGTACATGTATGCATGCACATGTATAGTTTCCTGTATTATCTCTCCATCTTAATCTAGCTGGGCACCTACACTTAGGTTGCTAAGTTTCTTCTGTATTTAATACCTGGCTGAGTTTGTTATGCCATACCTGAATTTCTCATTGTTACATTCATTTATCCTGTCATCCTTCATGAAATGATAGACCTAGCTTGTGTGGTTGGAAACTACATCTCATTCTTCCCTGAATCTCCTGCAGCTTTGCAGAGTTCCGGTAAATAGTACTCAGTTGGTGTTTAAAGGAGGATGAATTTATTCCATGGGCAACTTTAGGTGTTTTGCTGCTCTGTAACTCAATCAAAGGTAAAAGACCTCAAAAAGCATGTACTCTGTAGGTCGTCTTGGAGTATTTATAGTTAACCCACCAGCCAGTCCAGAACATGCTCTAAATGATGCTGGTACATACGTGCAGGAGAAAGGGTGTTAAAAAGGCTAAGGGTCAGAAGAAGTAAGGATCATGGTTTCATTGTCATAAAGGACTTTAGAGTTTGCAAAGCATATTGGCATATATCACCTCATTCCACCCTGTAAGACATTATTTCCACTTTATAAATGAAGTTAAGAGAAACTAAGTGACTCTCCCAAAGTCACACGGCCAGTAAGTGGCTGAGCAGGGATTGAAGCTGTATTTTCCCTTTCCCCACAGCCCTCTGATGACATGCCGACAGGATGTACCAAAGTCAAGGGAAACCAATATGGGAGAGTATTACTAGGTTTTTCAGATCATCAAAAGTAAACTCCCTCTTAGCACTAGGGAGCCTTCATGATATGGGCACCTTCTTCACCTGAATGGCTCTGAATGTGCGTAGATGGTGTGTGGATCATCAGTGTGGGGTCAGTAGTATGCTCCTGAACATTCAGGGGCCCCAACCGACCCCTGGGCTAGGCAGAAACCAACGCCCACACACATACCAGTCAGTGGCAACGCTGTGTTTCAGGGATTCCTTGCAGAGAAATTCTGAAAATCCCAGAAGATGGGCAGCCCTCCCCAGGCCTCAGCATTGTGTGTGACAGATTCTAACGCTGAGCCAGCTCCAGCCCCAGACAGTGTGACCACGGTCTTGAAGCTGTGGGACTCTGAGACCTTTTCAAGAAACCTCAGGCGGATTTTTCTTTTCATCATGTGTTGAGTAAAGTAGAGAGATGTCACTTCTCTCTTTTTTCTCCCCCGACAGGACAAGACATTTCAAAGAAAGTATTAAATTCATTCACGAGTGCCGACTCAGGGGTGAGGGCTGTCTTGTACATTGGTATGTATGCCTCTGCCAAATCATAGCTTAGTGTTTCTACTGAGCCTGATTTCTCTCAAGGGTTTTTCTGTGTGTGATTAATTATTTCAACTCCTAATGGTTCTGTCTGCCCTCTGAATCTTGAATACACACCCCATCTGACCCCTGCCATTTGTTAGTCATCGTTTGTTTTTGATGAAAGAGAACCCTATGATTTTTTTTTTTTTTCATTTTCACTTAGGATTTTCATTTTCACAGTTAGGATTTCTGTAGGGACTGTCAAGGCTATGGAACCACAGGAGCCTCTTTTCTAGCCCATGTCTATTATTCCCTTGGAATAGCCTCCTGTGGAGGGTACAGGTTTTGTGGGCTCATCCCTGAAACCTCAGCGCCCTTTCAAAACACTGTTTCTTTCTGGAGAGTTTTGATCACATATGTGGTGTTTAACATTGCATTAGTGTAACACCAGAATGACCATTTCTTCTCCATTTACAGATGGGGGCTTTTATGTGTGTTTAGCTTAGTACTTTGCTTTGAAAAGATCTGAATAGGATCTTAGAATTAAACAGTTTATATACAGCTCTCCACCTGCATTCAGCTACACTTCATATGGATCTGAATACATATACATAAGTACATACACACTGCAAAAAAAAAGCTGTTATAATACACATAACCCAAGGATAATGCACATAAAGTTCTTAGCACTATACCTGGCACATGGTAAGCTCTCAGGGAATGTTAGCTCTCATATTTTATTTTTTTATTTTTTTAAATTTTTATTTGTTTTATTTTTAAGTGAAATATAGTTGGCATTAGTTTCAGGTGTACAATATGGTGATTTGACAATTATATACATTATGAAATATCATTAGCACTAGTACTCATATTTATCACGTAACTAATATGTTAAAGGAACCAGCAGCCAACAGTCTGGAGCCAGAACTCTGCTGTTCATTAAAGTGCAAGCTGAGCATGTTCCCTCTTTATATTGTATAAGACTCCATATTGAGTATTACTCAGCCACAAAAAAAAAAAAAAAGATAAGATCTTGCCATTTACAGCAACATGGAGAGATTAAAAGGTATTATGCTAAGTGAAATACATCAGAGAAAGCAAATACCGTATGATTTCACTTATATATGGAACCTGAAAAACAAAACACATGAAAAAAACAAAAAACCAAAAGGCAGAACCAGACCTATAAGTACAGAGGACAAACTGATGGATGCCAGAGGGGAGGGAGTGAGAGGATGGGCAGAATGGGTGAAAGGTAGTGGGAGATGTAGGCTTCCAGTTATGGAATGAAAAAGTCATGGGAATAAAAGACACAGCTCAGGGAATACAGACAATGGTATAATTGTGTTGTACGGTGACAGAGGGCAGCTACACGGTGAGCACAACCTAATGTAAAACTTGTAGAATCACTATGTTGTACACCTGAAATTAATGTAACATTATATGTAAACTATACTCAGATTTTTTTTAAAAAGACAATATTATGTTGTGAAATATATTAAAAAAAAAAAAAAAAGCTTAACAGTCTTTTGAGTTTCCCCAAAGAAGTTGCTATTTCAGTGAAGGCTCTTTGGAAATGTAAAGTGATACCTCCTGGGCTGTGTTGCTGCTGATGTTGGTGACAGAGGAGATCCAGTGCAGGATACCCAGAAGAGCCCTTCATAAAAACTAATCTGTTCTAAGGGCCTGTAACCCATATCAGGAGAGCAGGGACAGTAGTTTGATTGCTTTAGAAAAAAATGATGTTTGGTAGTTTTATGCAGTTCTTGATACTATGTGATTTATGTTTTTTTTTACTTTTAAAAAGAGTAGGACATGTACCAAATTGTAGGTTTTATAATGTTCATCTACATTTGCTTTAAAGAATTTTGGGGGTGCAGTTGGAGCCATAAAGGGGGAGTTCTGTAATCCTGTGCCTGGGCTTCTATGGCTTCTGGTGAATATTAGACTCTCCAGGTTTGCAGCCAAAGAGGATGTATTTTTTAAAAGCTCTCTTGGTATTTCTGATATAAAAGCCTAAGAAAGAGCCCTACTTGAGAATGGTTGTCTTTTATTATTATTATTATTATCATCATCATCATCATCATCATTTGAATATGTGTAGCCCTGATACTCTAGGAATTTGTATTTCATATGGTTATATAAATCTGAAGATAGGCCTTTCTAAAAATGAGAAATTTGCTAAACTTCCCCATCTTAAACCGTTGCTAGAACACTCTAAATCTGACGCAGCACAGCCTTCTGTGACCACCTTAATTTGCATATGCATTTAAAATTGGTCCCCTTACTCAGTCTGCTAGATATAATTAACCGTTATTGACCCCCACATCCCAGAGCACGTGGAATGTGCCCTCTCTTGTGCTCTGCTCAGTTATTTCAAAAAGAACACAAACTGTTTCATAAGAGCTTCTGTATTTAATGGGCTTTCAGTTATAGATCTAGCCTTCATTTATCTAAGAAAACCAGACTTAAACAAAACAAAAAACCATGAAGCCTTCTAAACTGCTGCAGGTTGTAAATAGATTTATTGCATGGATCCCAGACCCTTCAAGTTCCCTTGATGTGCTTTAGTTAGTTATTTTTTCTGTCTGAGGAAATGGGGACTATCTGAAGAAGGGCTCAGGAGCATAGAGAATCATAAAACTGGTGTCCAAAGCCATAGCCAGTAGAAGATCTGTAAAAAAAAAAAAAAAAAAATGAGGCTCACACATATACTGATGCCTGAGATTCTAGTGTAATAAAGTAGAGAGAAGCTCCTATGTTTCTGAGTAATTTCATACTGGCTTGCTGTCCACTCATAATCCAAGGAGGAGACTTTCTAAAATGAGATCCACAGAATCCCCTGCTCTCGATGAATGAGGAGATAGACTCATGGACTGAAACCCCTTGCCCCTGTGGGTTCTTTTGGCCCTTGCAGCCTGGCCGGTGTCTCCAGGAGTGTGACTCTGGTGATCGCATACATCATGACCATCACCGACTTTGGCTGGGAGGATGCCCTGCACACTGTGCGTGCAGGGAGGTCCTGTGCCAACCCCAACCTGGGCTTCCAGAGACAGCTCCAGGAGTTTGAGAAGCATGAAGTCCACCAGGTAACCATGCTCAGGGGACTTTGGTGATGTGAGCAGCAGCCTCTGGGAAGATGACTCAGTCTTTCTGTGCACACCTAGAATCAGGGAGGTTGGAGTTTGAAAGGCCCACAGAGGACAAGAATGCCCCACTTGCATCCCAATCAAAGTCATCACTGGTCCCTTGTTCACCAGCTGCAGCTGTAGGACATTATCTTTTAACATCTTCAGACCCCATATTAACGTCTGTTTATTGCCCTTTGGGCCAAGTGCCATTTTCTTGGTTTGGCTTGCTTTCATGTCCTCAGGCTAAAACCTGGAAGAAGCAGTTATTTCTCTTGCTTGACACTGGCCGGCCAACCACAGATCTCTAATTGCCCAATGCCCATTTATTCCTTGGTTATATGTGGCAAAATCTGTAACATTAAGTAATAGGTGAAATCTATGTAGATGCAGGTGTGTGTGTGACATTTTGGTTTTGTTTTCAACTTCTCCAGTACCGGCAGTGGCTGAAGGAAGAATATGGAGAGAGCCCTTTGCGGGATGTGGAAGAAGCCAAAAACATTCTGGGTAAATATAAAGAACAAGGGCGTGTGGAGTCCCAGCCTGGTACAAGGCGGTGGAGCAACTTTCAGACCCTGCCTCCTTTGGCCTACAGCAACTATACGACGGAGACCTAATAACTGAGTGATCTGATGCCTGCCTGTCCATCCCTTGTCTTCAGTGCATTTCTGCCGGGTGCCCTGGTGTGCTGGCTGCCCCCGTGGAGGACAGGAAGGGGAGGGTGGCAAAGGTGGATACAGGCTCCTCCTCCATGAATCCACGAACCCTGCCCCAGGCCCCTTCATCCTGCCCACTCCTGCCCTGCCTGAGCTTGGGGAGTCTGCTTGGCTGCCCCACACCGACTCGTGCGTGCGCCTGAGTGCAGGCGAGTGTGTGTGTGTGTGCCCATGTGTGTGGATGTGTGAACTCTAAATGTTCGTATTGCTGGAACAGTCACAAAGTCCATGCTTCCATGCTTGGTATCACCACCTTTCCTTTTGTCCATGACTCCACATGGAAATCATTTGAAGTTAACATCTTAAAAGCTGCTCAGCATAAAGCAGCCTTTGGCTGGGAGCAGACGGAACCCAGAGTGGTCATGGTGAGGGCAGCAGGAGGCTGGACTCCCTTCTGAGGGTGGTTCCCTGGGGCCCTCAAAGGTGTGTGGGGTGTGCTCTGAGCATTGCCTCGATCTTAATGAAAGTGCCCCAGGCTGTGTGGTTCCTGCCACCTCAAGTCAAGACCCTCTTCTCAGCCTATCATGTCCCTGAGTTCTTGGTGTGTGTTCTCAGTGGCCCTGACTATATTTCAGTTCCATGGGGGGCACAACCACCTCAGCCCAAGCTATATGCCCAGGGCTCCCTTCCTTTCTCCTCCTGTCCAGCTTCACTTACTCTCAACCTCTTGTTCTCTTGCTGTTATAACTCTGCAAGGGCCTCTTTGCAACATCTGCATGCATCTTCAGGAACTGGGAAGAATGAGCATTTATTAGGCACTGTAGCAAGTTTGCATTTAAAAATACATTTTAAAATGCCTGCACACTAATTAAGCACCTTCATGTATGCTGTGGATTTGATATGTGATCTCAGCTACCTCATTAAATGTTTTTTGAAAAGGTATTTTTGTTATTGTAATCAGCTCATAGTTGAAAATGTTTGGTCGTGATTGCTTTTGAAGCCAAAGGGCAAAAGCATCAGTATCATTGAGCTATTTAAAATTTCTGACTTGAGCTCCAGTAGTGCTTTTTGGTGGGTAAAATTCCACATTCAGGCCAAGCCCAGCAGGCCTGGAGAGCATCTGCAGTTTGCAGTGTGGGGCAGCAGGATCCTGGAATTCTGTGAGCAATTTCGTGGTCCAGTCTTTTACACCAGCTCAAATTGTTTAAGCACACAAAGCCACAAGAAGGAAAAAGTATACTTGGCTTCTCCCTAAAAAGATGTTGCAGCCCAGTTTCTCCAAATTCCACCGCCAACAGAGCCTCTGACTAAGAAGAGCAGGAAATGCTCTTATATATGCACAGGAAAGCATATAAAGGGTAATGTCACAGGTGAGCCGCTTTGGGGACCAGGGAAAACTCTATACACCCACACAGGCCCTAGATATACACCAGAAAAGGGAAGCATGGCCATGGAATTTTCTACCTACAGCTGATACAATTTGTCTATAAAGTCCATTTTTTTCCTTGAACCAAAAAGAAATGTGAATATACTCACAGAAAAAGTATGTAGGATTATCAGCTGAAATGCTGAAATATGTGTGTACATTTATGAACATTTATGAACATTTATGAACAATTCCTGGAGGTCTTGAAATGTTGTTTTAATTTTTGTTGCCAGTAATGTTCTTTCTCCACAGCCACTGCAGGAATTCTGAAGCACTGGGCCTTTCTCAGAAGACTGTAAGGTACCTGAAGTTTCTGAAATATCGCAAAGCCACAGAGTTTAGGCTGGTGCTGCCAAAAAGAAAAGCAACCTAGAGTTTATTTTTAAGTATCCAGAAGCGATTTGTAAATTTGGTTTTCATTTTAAACTGAATACATGTGTAATGATGTTCTATGTTGAGAACTAAAGATACTCTTCCCCAAGAGAAAATATTTTTACCTTAATACCACTACTACAGCAATATCTTTAACCTTAACTTTGGGTTTATAAAGCAATCTCAAGAGCCCTACTGCACTGTTTTGGTAACTGTTTAGTAATCGTGATTGCTTCTCATGAGAATTGTGCTGGGTAAACTCTGCTTGTGTGTTCTTAAATTCCCCAGCTTGGGAAATACCTCTTGCTGTGTGCTCTGCCCATGGTTTGTGTTCCCCATGGTGGACTTTACCAAAAGCTACACATTTTTGTTAACAAAGGGCCACCGAGCATTGAAGTCCATGTGCAATGCACTCTTCCTTAGCTGAGGTGTGGATGTCATACATGTTCCTGCCGCTGAGGGTTGTGAAGCAGGATTGGAGCCTGCTCCTATAGCAGTAATTGCTGGTGTAATTGCAGAGACCACTCTTTCCTCCAGAAGGTAGTACAGGGGGCACTTAGGAGAAGTGAATTAATTTCACCATGAGAGAAAAATTGATCCTCAGCGTGAACAGAAAGAAACCCAGAAAGTGGACTCATAGTTCTCTGGCACATGGCACCTCTGGAATTACTGCATTTATCACAAGGGTGAGGGGTGTGCAGCCCAGGTGCTCCATGAACATTTGCTGCACATTGTTGAATGCAGTTTACTCTGATTCCATATTCAGCTTTTAATTTGAAGAAACACAGCCTGGCTTGAAGAGCAATTTAAGTCAGTTTCCTAAATTTTCCTTGTCTAAATCTAGTGGAGGAAGAAGGAGATTTAACGTTTCCCTCCAAGGATAATTTGGGCCTGAACTAAGGGCAGGTGGATAGAGGAGCTAATATACATGGACCCTTTAACTGTAGGTGGCAGGCTTCACCTATGTTCTGAGTTTCTGCTTCTAATGCCTGGAATCTCCTGACAAGGGCTCAGGGAAGGGGCTGGAATGAAGAGGAGGACCCTTTGCACGGGCGGCAGCCCCTGCCAGGTGTGGGATGATATGCACTGATCAGTTTCAGTCATTAAAATGCTTATTCTGACTCAGCAAGCCTGCCTGGATGTAGCACAGGTAATCCAGTTGTAGGAGCCTCTGAGTGCTCTCATGTGCCAGCCCTGAAAGCCCTGAGATGTCTCCACTTCCCACTTGTGAGTGTGTGCCAGAGCCTTGTCTCTGTGGAAAACTCGGGAACAGTGGCCAAGACGTAGTACAGAGCCTCAGGAAGACCTCTGTGCTGTGGGTAGGACAACGAGGCAGCAGAATTAGGAAAAAAGGTTTTCTGGTGATGGCCCCAATCCAGTAGAGGCACTCATCCCTCACAGGCTGACATCCTTTCCTGTCCCCCTCCTCTTGCTATAGGACCAGATCTGGCACCAACAATAATCCTCTAATAATTGTCTGGTGTTCTGTGGGTTACAAACTATCACTGCAAAGCTTTATAAACCCACAGAGGGTATTATATTATTCATTTGAGGCTCAAAGAGGCCAAAAAATACACCAAAAACGGAAAATGTTAGCTCTGATTTGCCTGAATTTTGAACTTTTGAACCCGAATCAGTGGGTTAAGAGAGGGAGGAGCTGAGCTGCCCCTGCGCTTTGAACTTAGAAGTTTGTAAGGCTCTAGTGGGCCAAGGGGGAACCGGCACCCCTGCAGCAAAGCTGTATGGCTGCAGAAGCCAGAACCTCTATTTGGTTGCTTCCCCCACCACACCCCTTTCTCCCTGGGGGGTTTGGGGCCCCATCAGTGGAGTTGGCAGTTAGGAAAATTGGCAATTGCAGAGTGGGTCATAAGGACCAGTATAGGTGGTCCTGGTGCTATGTGTGGGGGAGGGGAAGAGAAACACCATTCCAGTTTTGGGGTGAGGAAGGCAGTGTTCAGGGAAGGCATCTTGGAAAAAGTGATACCTAATTTGAGACTTCAAGCTTAAGTGCTGGAATTAGTTGGGCATAGCGGGAGGAAGGGGAGTCCAGGCAGAGGCCCAGCATGTGTGTTAACTTGGTGGCATGAGGGAGCACAGTGCGCTGGGGTGACCCCAAGTCACTCTGTGTGACTAGGGCAAGAGCCAAGGGGTGGGCAGTGATGGTAAGTGATACAGACAAAGCTGCGCACCCAAGCAAGGGCCCAGTCAGCCAGGTTGATACCATTGCTTAGTATGTGTATAGTACCATACCTTAGTATACAGTAGCTGGTTTACTTCTTATACTAGCCCTTGGAGCTAATCAAGCTCAGAGGTCGTGCCGTGCCAGCTTCCCACAGGGCTGATTCCTGAGCTTAGAGCTTCATAAGAAGCATGCATGCCATTATGCGGATGTAATGAGTAGGGGTGGGGGCTCGCTGAACTTGCTAGGGCAAGCAGGTACCATGGTTGGTTGGTGTGTAGGTGGATAATGGAGGGTCCACATTGGAGGCCAGTCGGGGGCAGCTGTTACAATCATCCAGGTGATTGAAGATGATGCCCTGAACAGGGTCATGGTGGTGGAGAAGAAGAGGGGCCAAGGAAGCAAATAGATTTGGGCTTGAGGGAGGTTGGGAAGGGAGAAGCAAATGCTCTTGGTACTGCACTGAATGTGAGGGACTATGGATTTTGTGGCCTTGACACTCTGGAATCTTGCTTCCAACACAATGGTTCTTTGTATCAACATCCTCCTTTCCTTTGATGGTGGTGTATGGGCTCTGAAATGTCAAAGTTAGATTTAAGGGGACTGCCAGACCTAGGGCCTCCAAGGGCAATCATCCCAGCTTTGCAGGTTAGGTCCTCAAGTTTATCTGTGCACCCAGGACAGACTCCCAGGAACTAGACTCATGACAATGTGGAATTCAGATGTCCAATTTTATAATTTATTGTGAAAGATAAAAAAGTATCTTTATGAAAACCAGTTTTATTCCCTAGGCTAGTTCTCTTTCATTATCAGGATTTTGGAGGAAGCCAAATTAGTCATTAGGCATTGTCCTGTGAGATGGACATGGAGCTAAGAGCCTTTGCAGGGGGCAGGGGATAATCCTGATCTGATATGCCCCATAATCAGATTGCTATTCCCATAGCATATGTAAGTGGTATTTCTACCAGGCTCCTGCTTTGCTCGCTGAAGTCACCTTTCCAGGGTCTAGCAGACCATCCTGTTTATGTACAAAGGTGATCTTTGACTTAAGTGACCTTGTTTAGAGCACCTTCATTAACCTTGGGTATCCTCATGTGTCTTCAATAGCATTTATGCTTTTCTGTAAGGATGGGTTCCCACTAGTGGCTTTTTTTCTCATTTATTGGGTGCTTGTTCTTTCTAGTTTCTGTCACAGTAGGGAACCCCACTTCCAACTTCTGGTGCTGTTTCGTGTTACTCATGCATAGAGACAACTTAGAAAATCTAGTGATTTGTGTGCGTGTGTGTGTGTGTGTGCGCACATACATCTGGGTCTTATGTTTTTTAGTTTTGTTTTAGAGAAATTCTTAGCTTTCAGGGGAGTCATGTGTACAACATCAAGGGCACCTCAAACTTGAGTACCTTAGGTGGCAGCTACCTGGGGCAACCAGGGAAATGTCAGAGCCCATATTACACAACCAGAGCCAGTCACAAAGGGCTGCTCTGCACACCAGTATCTAGTCATAAAAATAGGGAACACACTAAAAATCAAAACCCTGTGATCCCACACTAGATGACTCCTCCCATCCTGACCCTAAGTTATTAATAATTTTATTAAGAATGTGCTTTCAACATGCTTATATTTATATATGTACTTAACCAGAAATCACCAAGACTTCAGAGGGAAGTTCTTCTTCCCTTTCCTTTTTATTGCCCAGAGAAGGGGAGAAACTGAGAAGAAGGAGAAGAAAAAAAAAAAAAAAGCTGCCTTTGACTTGTCACCGGAGGCTTGAGCATGTCAGTTGTTCCCTTCTTAGGATTTAGTAGGGTCTCCCTTAGGCCTTAGGCTCATGGACTTGGATGCATGTAATGCACTGGCCACATTTCATCATGCAGAGAGATCTTGACACTTTGCTCTTGTTTTCCTATCCCCACTATAGATCTTGAGACCTGTCACTGCAGTAACAGGACATAATTAGTTCAGCCAGTACCAAAATTAGTAATCAAAATTAGTATCTATTTTGTAGCTGAGGCTTAACCACCTAATAAACATCTGACTAAAGGTTGCAAGTGCTGTGCCTGTGTCTCTTTCCATCGGGGGAAAGAATTGCCAGTATGTATTTGAACATCTGCAAGTTTAGGTTTATTTTGGCTCTGGATATCTATGCAAACTGTTGATCAAGAGTTAGTAATTTGCAGTTAATTTTCCTGAAGTTTCTAGTTCAGTTATTAGAGTCTGGTGTCAAAAGAGCTATTTTAGCAGGTGACTGAAATTACTAGGCAGTTCAACATTCTGAGTGTGATGTTGACTATTTAGAGGTGGGGTTAGGAGATGTATTGGATGAGATTGTACCTGAGCACATCCTTTATTCAAAGGCCTACTTAAGAAAACTAGATATGGGGTGCCTGGGTGGCTCAGATGGTTAAGTGTCTGCCTTCTGCTCAGGTCATGGTCCCAGGGTCCTGGGATAGAGCCCCGCATCGGGCTCCCTTCTCAGCGGGAAGCCTGCTTCCCCCTCTCCCACTCCCCCTGCTTGTGTTACCTCTCTCGCTGTCTCTCTCTCTCTCTCTGTCAAATAAATAAATAAAATCTTGAAAGAAAGAAAAAGAAAGAAAAAAGAAAAGAAAACTAGATGGGAGCCAGGGGTAAAAAAATAAAACTGATTTTTGTGGGTTTAACAACCCCTTCTAGGAATAATGTAGTTTTTGGAAATAGTGCTGATCACACCATTTGCCTATTTGTCCAACTTGACCCAAGAAGGCCGAATTACAGTGGCCTTTCTACTTAGCTTCCCAGTCCTCTAGGACACACATCAGTGACAAGCAAATATATGAATGGAACATTGCCATTGACATGGTGTTGGTCCCTCTCTCCCCATCAAGTCTGTTCATCATCAAGTGCTTTGCCCTCAGCCTCTTGTGCCCTTCACCAGAAGTGGCCAAACCAGCACAAACAGGAACCATACTTTCTGGTGAGCAGGTTTGCCTTTTGTTGGTTGGCTGTGGGTTTCCCCAAGGCACTGATATGGAGCCTTTTTGGAAAATACAAATCAAAAGCCCTCTACATGTGCACTAAAGAAATGTCACCTTCTGCTTTGCAAAGGGTGTGCCCTTCAAGTCAAGAGACCCGAGTGGCGCTGAGCTTCCTCAGAATGGGAATCCCTAGAGAAGCTCGTCATGTGCCAGGGGTTAGATGTTTGGATTCTCCTTTGGATTCTCTCACCGAGGTGGTGACAGAGAGAAAGGCAAGAAGGTGTGAAAGCAGAGGACCATTTCTAGACTGTTTGCAGAAGCCTTCATGAATCTCCCCAAATCAGGTGCATCCCAGAGGTGTACTGCAGATGTGAGCTAAAACCCATTTCATGCCTTGATATTCACTGTCCCACAGCAGAGAGGCCTATTCTCTGCTTTGCCAGAGCCCCTACCTGTCATCTTCCACCTTCCACAAACAGGAAGGCACAGGTCCTGATAGAGCAGGTTGGGGGAGATGAGAGGCCAAGGTCCTGGACTGGTGACCAGGCAGCCAAGATAGTCACATGCCAGACAGGCCTGACTGAGGTCCATTTTCATCCTGGTTCTCTGGAATACCTTGGGGAAGTCCCAGAGGAGGCAACCCACTCATGTGGGGAACTTCTTCTAAGACTGGAGTAAAGAAGCTCCCTAGAAGGGATGAGCAGTGCTAGAGGGCACCCTGTGTCGTGGCACAGTGATATGGGCAGAGACAGCCTCACAGCCTTCCTGGGTAGCATTTTATGTGTCTAGAAAGGCCTTTCTAATCATGAAGACCTCCCATCTAGATAACAAGATAATCAGCCTCGTGATGGTCAACAGTTATTCAGCACTTAATGTGGGAGAGAAGCTGGCATTGAGACTTTTTCTTGAAATCTCTTCTGACAACAATCTCATGGGATAGATTTCACTATGGGAGAATCCAGGTTCTAGAGAACTGGAGCATTGCCCAGTCTCAGGGCCAGAAAGTGGCCAAGTGAGGATTGGAATCCAAGCAATCTGACTCAGGTGGGCCTAAATGTCACCACTCCTTTCGAAATGCACTACCCCTGCGAGGCTAAGCTAATAAAAATGCTTACAGTCCTGTGCATTTCTGTTCAAGATTTTTTCTGAAGGTGGGTTTATGTTAGATAAGAGGCCTAGTGGGGAGATTTAGGTGGGAGATAGGTAAGTATAGTTAAATAGGCACACGAGAAAGGCATTTCTTTTTTCTTTCCGTCAAAATCTACCCATTGTGTGTACACCATGGCTGCCACACTTACCTCTGACTAGGCATTTCTGATTTAGCCTAGAGTAGCAGGCAGAGTGCTGAGATGTCCTGAGGCCCCAGGAGGCCCTTTGCAAGAATACGGAATGGCCCATGTGTGTACAGGAAGGGGGGAAGAGGGCTAGTGCCTGGTACTTTAAGCAGATGGTATTCTGTCTCTGATGTGCCATCATTATGCAAATAGAGGAACCTCAGTGAGGTTTTTGCAAGAAGTTCAGGGATTTGCTGTCATTCAAGTCAAATAACTCAAATGGAGACACTCATCAACAGTGGATGTCAGCAACAGTGGATGTCAAAGCAACCAGAGACTGACAGGACCTCCTTTCAACCCCTGGGTCTGAGGGCCAGGGCTGGGAGATGGAGTTAATAGAGCCAAGTAAGAAGTGAGCCATGCAGGGGTGCCCGGTTAGGACCTGAGCAGGGCAGGTCTTTAAGAAGTATGGGAGGCTAGGAGGAAGCAGAGTAGAAGTTTCCCATCTGGTGTCCTCCTGTCTTATCTCCCTGAACCTAATGGGAAGCTGGCCAACAGAGGATTCTGCATGCCATGGCCATGGGGGACAGAACAGGGTGATTTGCCATACAACAGGCAGCCCTGGAGCTCAGCCTTGGTTAGGGCGGAGATACAGTGATAGGATGAAGGAAGTGCCACAAGCTTCCAAGAAGTATCTGAGTGTCAACAAGCTGATACTAAAAGTTGGTCTGAGTGGGGAGCATGGGTTCTCCTACACACTTCATCCTGAAGTGTGCTATCTGGAGCTTGGCCTGTGACTCACTGCTTTTATCTTTAGAAAGCATTTAGAAGCATCCATGCCTGCCAACGTGCCCCCACGGATCTGTGTTTCCCTCTGGCCTCTCTGGAGAAATGACACCCTCTGACATGAAGGCCATCAGCCGTGGCATCTGAGCCTCTGCTACAGACTGTGCCCATGTGAGAGGCCCCCACCCCCTGTACCAAAGCCCATGAAGAGTGGGGGAGGATAGTTTGCAGTGCCTCAATCATGCTGCAGTGCCTGCGGCCCACTGGGAAAGCTATGTCATGAGATGCTTATAGAGCTAGCACTGTGCAGACTGCCATGAGGGAAAGGAGAAATTAGGCAGGGCAGCCCTGTCTTCAGATTTTGAGTTGGAGAGAGAAGATAGTCACTCCCAAATATTCTGTGGACAAATGCTGGGCACAGAAGCATGAATGCAGGCCAAGAGGACCACAGATACCTCATGGAGAGTGTCCTGCTGGGGATGGAAAACTTGGAAGAAGAGTCAAGGGCATCCTGGGAAGAGGGTGACGTGCAAGTAAAGGCACAGACATGAGTGAACATGGTGTACTGGGAAGTCCAGGACCTGTCTTGGAGAAGGTGACTATGAGGGAGGCGAGGGTTGGAAAGTTGAATGGCTAATCTTATCCTGCCCTGTAAACTGTGGGAAGCCATGGGAAGGCCTTGGATTGATTTGGGTCCCTCAGGATGGGCTGGAGGCAGGAAGGTAGAGCAATTAGGAGGGGAACAGGATCATAGCCTGGACCGGATGCCCCATGGGACCTCTCCAAAGATGAATCTACCAAGTGAGGCAACATAGATAATGACCATCTTGAAGTAGTGACAAGCAGTGCTGGTTTGCTTTCTCCAGAAGCAGAAACAGAGTTAGGGGTACAAAAGATTATTGGTGACAGGAGGGCAGGAAGCTGATGGGGCAGTGGGGCTATCAGGCTGCAAGACAGTCCCACCTCCTCTCCACCAGAGGAGCCTGGGGGCAGGCATGACTGGTTGCCCCAGAAGAATGGCCTGAGCTGCCAGGCAAGGCAGCCCTCCGAGGCCAGAGCTCAGGGACACTTACCATGCTTGCAGGGAAGGACAGCCTGACACTCTCCAGGGACACCTGGTGCTAAAGTGCAACCTTGCAGAGATACTTCTTCCCAGTGTCTCACACAGCAGGGCTGTCCAGAGTACTTCACCCAAACTCCAGTGTTGGAGCCTCCAATGTGGCTTGGTCATTTGGGTGTCTCTGGCAACTAGAAGCCCTCTCCCCTCCTTTTCTCCCCTCCCCTCCTCTCTCCTCCCCTTGTCCTCCTCTCTGTCCTCCTGTCCCCTTCTCACTCCTCTCTCCCAGTTCTCAGATTAGAGCTGGGTGTCGAGGAAGCATGAAAGCAACACCAGGAGTTAGGGGATTCCAACTGTCCCTCCTCACAATGATTGCAGCCTCAGCAGCCACCAGAGATGCAGCAGGACCTTTCCATTCCTGGTACAGGAGATGTAGAGACACATTGACTATAGAGCATTTATTAAAAACAAATTTTGATGTCCTCCATGCTATTCCTTATGTTCCACAAATAAGTGAAACCATATGATAATTGACTTTCTCTGCTTGACTTACTTCACTTAGCATATTCTCCTCCAGTCCCATCCATGTTGATGCAAATGTTGTGTATTCATCAGGAGAAGGAAGGGAAAATGAAGAGGGAGAATCAGAGGGAGAGATGAACCATGAGAGAATATGGACTCTGAGAAACAAACTGAGGGTTCTAGAGGGGAGGGGAGTGGGGGGATGGGTTAGCCTGGTGATGGGTATTAAGGAGAGCACATACTGCATGGAGCACTGGGTGTTATACGAGAACAATGAATCGTGGATCACTACATCAAAAACTAATGATGTATTGTATAGTGACATAACATAATAAAATAAAATAAATAAAAATAAATAAAAATAAAAACAAATTTTAATAAGTAACTAAAAGATAATCTGTATTTTATTACCAGCCAGAGCCAGCAGTTTTAAACTATTCCAGTGATAAAATATATCTCCCCCCAAAAAAATTATTTTGTTGGTCTAAGTTCTTTTTTTTTAAGATCTTATTCATTTATTTGAGAGAGAGAGAACAGGTGAAGGGGTAGAGGGAAAGGGACAAGCAGACACCCCACTGAGTACAGAGCCTGACTCGGGGCTCAATCCCATGACCCCGAGATCATGACCTGAGCTGAAACCGAGAGTCTGAGGCTTAACTGGAATGAGCCACTCAGGACCCCTGTTGATCTAAGTTCTAAGTCTAAACAATGGCTGTGTCTGCTGTAGAGTTTTAATAATGTATGCATAAGCTTAAAATGTCCATATTTTTATTATATCCTTTATTAACAATATGTTCTATATGGAAGTGAATGTGGAGAACTCCTAGTTTATGGGCAGGACTGGGGCATAGGGAATCAGCTGGTCTATTGTTTGGGGGTTTTTTGTTTGTTTTTTTCTTTTCCAGTAAATTCAGAATGATCTAGAATCCAAACTCTGTGATAATTACATTTCTACACTTGCAGAGTAGATTTGAAATACCCGAGGATCTTATATGCAGTCCCTTCAGTCTGGCATTCTGAGTGACCACTTGAATGTTTACTTGGCTTTACAGTTTTTTGATTGCAGACATATTAGAAAACCACCAGAATTGGTTCCAAAGAAACACAATGCTATTTATGGAATTTGATGTGAAATGGGATTTTTTTTTTTGCATCTCTTCCAATCTTATCCTTTTGTTTAACACCTTTCCTAAATACTTGTATATCTGTTGCTCCACATGAAAGAAATTTTTCAAAATTAAAATAAAGCAAGTGTTCTGTGATCAATGAAGAGTGAAGGTCAATTGACAAATCTGACATAAAAAGTTCTGTTTTGACAAAATCATTGACAAATTTGCAGAAGGCTCAAAAACAAATTGTAATTATTCATTAATGTGACAGACCAACATCTAGGTATATATTTCCCCCATTTTTCAACATACACATTATTGTAATTAAAAAGTATTCATACATGGCTTTTTCCTTTTTACTGTGATATTTTTGTTTTTATTTATTGCCATGATAACCAATATAAAATTCAATAAAAGAACATTTTTACAGCATGTGTAAAATGTCCCTTATTATTCTTTTTTCATTCCATGTCATTACTGATTGTAACAGAGAGGATCAGGTATTAAATGCATAAGTATGCTTCTATGTTCACAAGGTCCTTCATGAAAAACAAAACACATTTTTATGTGCTTCACTTTCTTCATTCTGTATCAGTCCTCTCTCCTTAAGCAATATTGGAGGCCTGGAAAACCTGTGTGATTTCACTATAGCCTATGTCGGTGGGTGTCCTGTCCCCCTATTCTAATTTGGTTTTATCACATTTCCTAACACCTAGGATTTGGCTAACTGTTTCCATTTTATTTTCTCTGTAGAGACAGCAGAGAAAAGATAATGAAAATTCTCCAACTTTTCACGTTTCTTTCATTTTTTCTGGTTCTTTCTTCAAAGATAATTAAAGATTACTTTGGTTATTTTTGAGAATGCTCGGTAAGAAAGCTGCTTTATTTTCCCTGTGTTATGTTCTCCTATGGGTATTCCTTCCATTAAGAGGCTCATTGTAAGAAATTCTACATTTCACAAGAGGTCAATGGAAGCTGAAGTTTCCCCTTTTCTCTTTGTCAAAGAATTCCCATTAGTGTGTCTTTAAATTACCATCTCCCCTAATACATTTCAGAGTCAGATATAAAATAATTCCATGTACATATAATTTTTTAAGACTACTTCTCTTGCTGGGCGCCTGGGTGGCTCAGTTGGTTAAGCGACTGCCTT